TTTTAGATGTCTGCAAAACAAATCTATAAAAAGCTTTCGGATCCAGCTGCTCGGTGACCGTTACTCCACTCGACAATTTTTCTCGATTTTTGCTCCACTTCTTCGTTATTAACAACCCTTTCGAGGCGATTCCAAAGCTGGGCTTCGATTCCAAAGATATTTACTCGAAGTCTTTTGACTATCGGTTAGTACAACCTCCATTAAACTAGGTGCACACCATGCGAGAAAGCATGCCATCAACGTCTCTCTCTTAATGTTATTGACCTCTTGAAAAAATAGTAATCTTTTGAAAGCTCAGAAATTTTATTGTGATCAGTTAACATAATCGTACAGCGATGGTACAGACAAAACTACGGCGGTAATGCAACAGTCATATTTTTGTACACTTTAAGCATATTCTGCCAAGCATAGTTCATTCGAGCAATGCTCCTACTTCATTGGTTTTTACTCAACATAACTGGGAAGGCTAGGAAGCAATTGCTTCTCTGTCCTGACATGACGAAGGCGAAAACGAAGGGGCCGAAACAGTTAGCCACAGTGATGCGTTCTTAGTGACTACCACATGTGAGCTCGTCAATACAACAAAATGTGAAATATGTTGTCATTGTTACGATTTGAGCACATATCACAGCACACTGGACTCTACATCCATTAAGTTTTACACTGTATTTAAAATTCTTATCCCTTAGCCATATAGGGAAGATTTTGAGCGCACACATGACTTCCGTTCTTTCAGAGAGATATTTTGTCGTGAGTCGTTCACATTGTGCGTTTTTGATGAATTCAAGGAGATCAGGATCATGGCTAAAGTGCAGGATAGAGCACGGACCACATTTTTTGGGAGGAAAACAAAATTTATTTCCGCGGGTTCTCAAGTCACAAACCTACTCGTAGTGCAAAAAAGAACTGCATCTTACATAGTTTAAATACAACGATACGAACCAATAATCACGAAACTAACTGATAAAATTCCGCACGAGTGCATTTTAATAGGTTGAAGTTGTATCTAGTTAAATGAAATGAGTGTGGTTCAAGCTGCAAACGCTTCAGATGTTAGAATTTAACACTAAGAAGTGCTAAAACGAAAAGCAGCCCATTTTTTCCTGAAGTTTAAGGAAGTAAACGTGCCCACTCTCTAGAGAACTACATCGCAGTCTCAAAGAATGTGTTAACACTGCATAACTACTATGCATATGATAAACATATGAACACTGAAGAGATTTTCTTCGCACAATTATTTTAACCTCTCGCAGATGAGTTATGAACTTCTGATTATATTGCATGCCTTGGCAATAAAAAAATTTCACACATGATTCCTAGGAACTTCTATTGCATAATTATTATGATGTCATATTTTGTATATATATATATATACATATGCATATATATGCACATATATATATGAATGTATATGTACACGTGTGTATACATTCGCACCTGTGTACGTAGACACAAATATGCATATATATATATATATATATATATATAAGCATATATGCATAGAGCATCCTTTAGGGATTGATCAAAGCCGAGATGTGTGGAAATGTCTCGTGGTTTTTCTGTTGAGGTAACGGTGTTTGAATGACTAGGTTGCACGCAACATGACCACATTCTAGGCTCAAAAGAAGGCGAAATCCGCCAAGACGTCAACTACCGCAAATAGATAGTATAGTAACAACCTCCTGCGCGCTTATAAGGAAAGCAGCAAGCTTATATGTATATGCCTGGGAGGTTAACAGCACTCGCTGGACACATCGGTATGCTACCGCGAGTTATTGTAATGGCCAGATATGTATTCAATCACCTGCAAACGATGCTTAATGAAGTCGAATTCATGGCGTATCTCTCAGGGATTCATATAGACCAAGAGCGTTATCATTTTATATATATATATATATACATATATATATATATACATATATATATATACATATATATATATATATATATATATATATACGTGAAGCAGGTATAGAGCAGTGTTTGTAATGTCATTAATTGGGAAGCAAAGGCGGTAGCTCGACCACCGCCCAACGCCCTACTTCAATCCACGTGGGAACTCCTTATTCCGACTGTCTCCAAGATTGCAAAGAGAACTTACTGGACCAGCATTCCACAAAATTTATGAGGGCGAAATTCTCAAACAGCAGCTGGAACAAAATGCGAAATTTCCCAAGACCACTGTAGACGTGTGCGAGGAGGGAAACGAATCGAACATAAAAAGTGCTAGGATTCCCGTAGTAGATTTGGTGACGGCTCATGTAAATAAATAATAAAAAAATCAAATATATATATACACGCTTTAAAAAATCAAGTATATACTGTATACATATACAGGTCCGGTGCATATACGTATATGCTTTTAGGCAAGGGAGCGGATAGCGCAATCCTTAGACATGCCATGCGACACACAGGATACCCGCGTTTCGGTCCCGCGCTCCGCTCTAAGCCTTCCATCACTGCGGGGTCTGCAAATTGGTACCAGACCTATCTAGGAGAGTAGCACCAATAACCCAACATACCTGCTACCGCTAATCATTATTCGACAGCAAACGCTTTATCATCTATTGTATAATGTGCATAAATATATTTTATATTACACATTTATTACACATAGCTATACAATACAATAGCAACATATAGTGCACAATATTACATATACAGCAAATTATATATATATCCATATATGCATGTACATATATATAATATATATGATATAGTACGGATTATATACATCATATATTACGTATGCACATCATAATACTTCATACACAACATATGTACGTATATATATATATATATATAATATATATATATATGTAATATATATATATGTAATATATATATATATATATGTAGATAGGTAGATTGAAGGATAGGTATACATATATACAGCAAAAAGAGGGATTGGAAAGCCTAATCGTTGGAGATGCCTCACGTGACCAATGGTCCAACACAACTTTGTGCCATTTGTACCTTTCACACACCTGTATCGGCAACTATCTGGTTGGAGCTCCCGACTGGCGGAGGTGTACATTGGAACGGCATAGTACGGCTAGTTGAGGACTTCAGGAAGAATCAATTTTGCCGGAATTCAGCGTTATTATTGAAAATGAAGTAGTCCCTACATGGCATCATCGCCTACTCACAAGCAAAACAAAAGCCTTCGTAAATGACGAATGAGAGACAAAGAACCGAATATAATTCCTCGGTTTCATGCAACAAGTGAAATCAGGTTATGTAAATGAAAAAATTTAGCAACTGAGGTCAGTAGAACTTTCGTGAAAGTCTTGTGGATGCTTTGTATGCTCTTTGGTAGCTATGGATTGCAAATACATGCTTACTTCTACTCTTACTCACTTTTTTCCTTATTCTCAAATTGTGTCCAGCACTGATAAGTTAAGATAGTACTATCGTAGTGGACGTGTAGCGCATTCGTCGGAGGCGCCTTACAATACCCATGGGATAGAGCTCCGTGTCCACACCCAATAAGCCCTCCATCCCTCCTGGGTCGGCAAATTGGTATCAGACTTGTCTGGGAGGATAGCAGCAGTGAGTCGATAGATCGGTAGACCACTGCGAATCAGTGTAAAGCCCATATATGCATTCGATCACCTCCAAACGATGCTGAATGAAGTCGAGTGCATGCCGCATCCCTCAGGGATTGATCAACGCCGACAGATTACCTTTCGATTTTTTCTCCTACCGTTTAATTGATTATTTATACCGCCATGCGCTCTTAACACAACTAGATGGATTTACATTGCATACCAGCGAGGTTATTATGGTTGCGCAACGCTTGGTGTGCACACACATTAATGGCTCGCGTCATCAGAAGCTCAACCAACTATTTAGAGCACTTCGAAGCAAACATTTTTCAACGCTAACTCGCTGACTTCACAATTAATAATTTTATACTGTATGTCATTGACAATTTCCGAACATTCCCGAAACAGGAGCCAATTAACAAATAGTGCTTATGCTTCGGTGGAACAATATTGGGACAACGAAGACTGACAACTGGACAACTGGACTTGCTATTCGACAGCAATTCGATGCATTTTTCCGATTTTTTGTTTTCGATGAATTATGTTCGAATACAACCACAACGTTGCTGAGATATTTGCAAAACTCTGGGCTGCAGGTGTCTATGGTGGGGAACGAACGCGCTATTGTCCTTTCCGGGGAGTAACGCGTTCACCACCACACCATGCGGGTCCTTCGTTTCGCCTGTCTCTCAGCTATTTCTATCGATCTTTTTGCCACAGCAATCACCCGTCAGCGGGGTTGATCTGGGAAGCGCAAATCGGCATGATCTGGCAGTAACCTGCCATGAAAATTATAGAAGGCAGAAAACAAAACGTTAAACATTATGTTCGAATAGTTTATTCATTTAGCTCCAACTTAAGAAATATTCAGCAATGATCCTTTCTTATCGTTATGTTCTCGCTCGCTTCCGTCTCAGATTTTGAGGATATCGGTGCTAAACTACATAACTACAGCTTCAACACATCTATGCAAACTGGGTACTGATCAGATTTTTCGAAACCCATTTTTAAATTCAAATTTGCATCCAGCACCGATCGATATATTACTGTACCGTACAAATTCATCTAGCATTGCAACGTTGATTGATGCAACTATCGATCGGAAGTTCACTCGCAACAACAACTCGTGCTAATCGATAAGTTCGGCCGAACCGATCGCGCTCGCTGCTTTGGAGCGCGTCGATTGATCACACATGTACTCGATGACTAATCAGTCACTATCGGTGCTATTTAAAATATGTCAAAGTAACCGCTAACTATTGGCGCTACTTAAAAACGATATTGCACTGACGAGCAATCACCTATGAAGTTACAAAAACGCTTCTCAATCAATTCCAACGCTTATTGGTCAATGAACAAAGCTCAGATTTGAAGTCGGCCCAATTTAAAACTCTTATCAGTCGCTGATATGTCTACTGCCTGCTAGACACTGTACCAGTTTTATCTCAACCGTTACATATCAGGACGCTCGCTGGTCGGCTGCGGTCGGTGGGTCGGTTGGCACGGTGTCCCCTCTCCCCGCGCACGGCGTCCAATCGTCGCCACTCTGCGTCCCTGCACAACCCTCGCGACCTCTTCGCCGTTTGCGACAACGACCAGACCACCACGATGCGATCGATGATTGGCAGTTAGCCAAAGCGTCGGGGTCATTGCACTCAAGGTAACCACATCGCGCTGCTGCTCGATCGTATTAAACACGGACATTGGGAATCTAGTAGGAACCACGACAAACGACGGGTCACAACAGAACATCATTCTAAAATGGCCAACACGGCGCTCTGAACACTCAGTGGAAACATTACGGGTACGGTACATATCGCACACGCAAAGTTTCCACCGAGAATGTAGGGCGACATAGACAGGAGTATGGGAGATGGCGGTGACAGAAATGGTCCGGACCAAATCACTCTGGACACACCAAGCAAGCCGCGTACACAATACTATCGGTAAGTAGACTCAGCGGAAACTCATACGGGTATGAACAAATAAACACAACCGAACAATTTCCACCGAGTCCACAACTGTCGATTAATAAGTAAGCGTTAAACAGACGATATACGATCGAAAGGCATAGACGATCTCGGACTATGAAGATTACGGGTACAAACTTAATATGTACCAGTTATCTCATAATCGGAGCTAGAATCTAGCCAATGATAACGTAGTGAAAAGCAGACAACAGGCAGTTTAATCTGACAACATGGTAGCTATGCACACGTTGTGTAGTGCTAGATATATATTTACGCATACACACATACACATACACAACACACACGCACACACATAGACACACACATACAGATACACGCACATACGGACACACACATGCATACAGATCTACTTACCACGTTTTAAGTAAAGAATCCTTATGATGACAGTAGATACTTGTTACGACGATTACAGTCGGGCGTAGGTGAACAACAGAACGTAGTGGACAGCAGACCAGATTGCAGCCCATCGGTTGCAGCAGCAATGGACAAATGAGACCGCCTCCATCGATTGCCGCCTCACGTGAGGGCGTGGGGCGTATCGGCGCAATCGTTGTGGGGCCCACGCGGTTCTCGCCTACGGTAGCATTTTCGAACAGTGCGCACAGATGTTGTTGCGAAATTTTTTCTAGTACAGTATTGTTCTGACATATCTGCACCTTATGAAATAGGACTTAGTTTATGAGTAGCATTTGCCTCATTTGTGAGTTTTCCCCAAAAGTGCCACGGCTTTTGATATTTTAATTCCAGTAGATTTAGCAAAATTTGTTTCTATTTGTAGACGAAATATTATGTGTTTATATGAAACGTTATATAAAGGCCATCTTATCTGATATCAGGATAGAATTGTTCATGCAAAATTGTACGACTAAACATTGAAACAGAGAATGACCGCTACGCAATTATTCGTCAGAAAAATTGTCATAGTAACTGGCCGTATACAAGTCTCGTGTACTCTTGTCTTAAAGGTAACTTTTAGGGTGTCAGAAACTATAGAGGTTTGTTCATTATTTTCGATTGATAAGTACAGATACTTGGATACGTGGATGGCCCTCCTCACTGGTTGTGTGGGTACCAACACAATTTCCTTTTTCTCGGAGTTTTGCTGGTTTAGCCATTGTGGTTCCCTGGAATCTCGAGGTCAGCCCAACCAAAGTCTGCCGCAGATAAATACAGGTAGCGATTGCAAATTTTTAGTCAGCATTGGTTTCTTTAGAGTGGAGATAAAAGTGAATCAACGAGATCAGTGTAGTACTGTAGTACAGAAGAAAAGGAGAACTCCAATGGTGTTTTGGAGTTGTCTTGATTTCCGGGTGATTCGATTGCTTAAGACGTTCTGTGTAGTGAAATTTTTCCATGTGTTACTCATGTTCAAGAAACATATCGACATTGTATGTCTAGTGGTGGGCTTGAGAATTTCACCAACAATAAGCTTTATTTCAGACATTTTTATTAAAATCACCCTTAAACATTCGTACAAACGCGATTCGAAATTGACGATTTGCTAATGCATAGACGAACGGATTCGAACTGCTGTTCAAATAGCACATGTAGTATGAAAGATTGTACACGAACGTCGGTATGCATTCACCTTTACAAAACCCGTAAATAGTAGCCTAAAATAGTTCTGTGTCAGATTTCAGGACACAATTCAGTACACGATACTGAGTTACGACACTACTTACCACAATGTAGTACGGTGACCAGAGGATAGCGAAGCAGCCAACGATAAATGTGATCGTTCTGAATATTGTGCGTATAGAACATCATAGACAAGGTAAAATCAACTACACTTTTTCAGATGTGTTACTTCATTCCAGATATTTATCCGAGTTTTGTGTGTGTGTCGTATATATATATATATATATATATATATATATATATATATATATATATAATATTATATATATAATAGTGCTTTTCATTTATTTCTGGTGTTCGAAGGTGTTGTTCTTCTTTGTACTTTCGTCATTGAGGATGTGAAAAATCTGTTATTACGTGCCAACGCCGAGAAGTGGTCGAATGCGAAAAGCATTAAGACAGAAAAAAGGAATACGTGACTAATCACGAAATATCAAAATGTCAAGGATCGAACGTATTATTCATTCTGTTGTGGCAATAAAACGTTCTCTATTTTTAACAGTTCGAAGTTCAGAAAGGTAAAACTATTTCAGAATTGTGAGATGTCGTTAGATTCGGATAACTAAACGACAGAAGAGCTAAAATGTAGACATTTACTCGTAAGCATTTTCGATCTCTTAGTTTGTATTACTGAATTTATTATAAACGGATGCCTTTGTAGGTTAAGAGAGCTGAAGTCGGAAAGTTATATGCTGTATGGACCATTACAAGATTCTGAATAACAAATGAATATGAGCCAAAAGAGAACGTGTACTAGTCCTGAGACACAGATGATTTTAATGAGTGTCTTTATACTTTCTGCGATGACGGATTGATTTATACCTTCTGTAAAGGTAGTAGCTAAATTCATGCAGAAGTGTATAGCTGTGTTTGCTTGTATATTGGATGTGTATGGCTTGTCTACTACACGTCACTAATGCCAAAAGTTAAGTTAGGCATTCAGTTAAGTGGTCGTGAGATGTATTACTTTACGAAGAAATTCGGCGTGGTATGAAATAAATAACTCGCACATACACTTCGTGAAACTGACAATGTACCACCATATGTTCACCCTCATGACAATCTACTGCTAACCACCATATGTGAGTACTCTATCGCCAAACACATAACTAACTTGAGTACAGCGTTTTCTGCAATACGATGAGAGGGAATGGAAATTTCACTTAAATGCGTTCAAATCACTCAGTTTTTAACAGAATTACAGTTTTCAAGAAATTTACTGACTTGCTGTGTTTTGCGAATGTTGCTCTCTCTTAGGTCAAGGTCTTCGGTACGATTACCCTACATAATTCTGTTGAGCGTAATTCCGAATCTTTTAATATAAGTACCAGTTTTAACTTACTGTTTACTGCCTACTCTTTTCAAAGGAAGGGTTTATGGCGAAATATAAGTTCAATGATGCTGAGATATTTGCAAAACTCCGGACCGCAGGTGTATGCGGGGGAGAGGGTGGGGGAACGAACGCGCTATTACGCTTTCCGAGGGCTTACGCGTTCACCACCACACCATGCGGGTCTTTCCTTTCGCCTGTCTGACAGTTAGTTCTCTTGATCAGTGCTGTCAGCAATCACCGGTCAGCGTGATTAATCTGGGGAGCCCAAATCGGGAACGATTTGTGTTATATACTAACTTAATTTCTTTTGTTTAACGTTTTGTTTTCTGCCTTCTATAATTTTCATGGCAGGTTATTATTAATTTCTTTTATTTTGTTTATATGAACCATCTTTACGTCTACTTACGGATCCCAGCACTTCTCACATTCGATTCGTTTCCTCGCATCCATCATCAACTAAGGTCTTCCAACTTTTAAGGGTGGCTTCGGTTGCTGCTTGAAGATTTTCGTATCATCTTGACGAGTTCTCCGACGCACGACGGAAGGAAGGCTTGCTGAGCCCTGAGCGGGATCGAACCAGTACCATGCTTATGATGATCTGCATCACTATCACTATGCTATCTTTGCATAACGTTCTATCGCTGCCGATTTGAGCTCTCCAGATCAATCCCGCTGACGGGTGATTGCTGATGGCAAAAGATCGATAGAACTAGCTGAGAGACAGGCGAAGCGAAGGACCCGCATGGTGTGGTGGTGAACGCGTTACTCCCCGGAAAGGATAATAGGGCGTTCGTTCACGTGTACCGGTATTTTGTCAACGAGTCACGTGAGTATACCCAGCCACCACGTTCAGAGCCCAGTAAGGTATACGTGGGTACCAAAAAGCTAAAAAGCAGTAAAGGAAGCGCGGCTCATTCCCTTTACCCGGAAGGAGCCCCGATTCGGCAGCGTTGTATAGGGCAAGTACAGAAAGGCTGCTCAAATCTTGAGGATAATCTCACAAAAACGATGTTCATGAGGAACGGACTGGTTTCGTATGCTCCATTCACGCTCAACGGAACGATAATCTCTGAACGTTCTAGTTATGTCTATCTAGGTCGGGAAATCAACATGCCGAACGACTTAGCTCCAGAGCTGAGCAGAAGGAAACGAGCGGCTTCGGGAGCTTTCAAGAGCATCAAGGATGTAGTGAAGAGAACAAAGAACACCGACTCCGTGCCCACATTTTCGACTCAACGGTACTTTCTGCCCTAACGTATGCGTCAGGAACCTGGTCGCTGCGTAAGCGGGATGAGAAATCACTCAGCGTTATTGAACGCGCAGTCGAACGGACGATGTTTCACACAAGTAAGGGATGGGATCCGAAGCTCCGATCTGCGTCAACGATCAAAAATCAAAGATGCCGTTCTGTACGCCAAACAGTCGAAGATAAGGTGGGCCGGACACGTAATGCGTATGAATGACAACCGATGGGCAAGAGGCGTTAGTGACTGGATTCCTCGGGACGTTAAACGCACTGCAGGAAGGCCACCGACTCGATGGTCAGAGTTCTTCACGGAAAGCCTTGAAGAAAAGTATAGTGCTCAACGAGTCCCTCAAGCGAACAGAACCCACTGCGCTTCTCCTGCACACAACAGGGAAAAGTGGAATATTTACTGACGCCCGCTCGAGTCACTTGATGATCAGCGGGACTGCAGGTGATACAGATGATATCAGTACTTTGTACGCCACTATGATACCTGTGTCTGATAAGCACTACGGGATGTTTTGTTTCCGTTTGGGTAATGTTGGTGTAAAGATAATTTCTACACTGAGTGCTGAAAGAAGGTTACCAGTACTAGTCATATGGTCGTCATTAGTGCTACAAGTGATGAGCAGTAAATTGAAGGTAATAATGGTAGGCACAAGCTGAACCCAAGTACTGGTAAGTTCAACTGTTGGCGCAAGTGGTGATGGAGGAATGCTTCCATTAGCGAGATCATTTATGAATAGACCGCTTAGAATTTCCAAATATTGTCACGTACTACCTGAAAGCTTTGCGTGCTCGTCTTTCGGCCACTGTACGTCTATGCCGTCGACCCAAATTTGCGGATAACGGAGCAAAAATTGAAGAGAGTACTCGTTCATTGGTGGTTGTCGTTGAGACAGATGAAATATTTTTTGCGGTCCTAAACATTTCTTATTACTTCCGTCACAGTGGTCTCTCTTCGTTTAGCTGTTTCTAAGTAATTTTCTAGGTACCACTCATCATGTTTTCAGTGGCTTCGAAAACTTTCGGATTTTTCATGTAATGCTAACATTAAACCCTCCACTATCCAAGAACTCTAAAGAATTTCGTATAGTTTTCCTCAGAAACTTGCGATTTTTTTTCTTACAACCTATCACTTCTGTTTTTTTTCTCCATGGAATTGGGATACATCTTGAGTTTTGTGGTTGTCGATGTACGTCGACGGCTAGCAAATCTACTCCAATTGGCGAATAACTTCTTGAAATGTCGCACAGTTTTGGGTATTCGTTGGAATTCTGGAAGAAGTTCTGTCATCACTTACGATTCACTACTGCTTTTTCTTCGTTCCATATGTTCTTTCAGCATTGTCGGAGCTGTATGACGCTTTAAAGGTGTTAGCGAGTTGTGACGACTTGATGATTTATTCTCCGTCGCTGATGTTACAGACTGAATATATATGCAATGAAATGGAAAACATCCATCCAATGTTGTGCAATATATACTTAAATAGCTTAAACGGTGATCGTGCAGCACAGTGGTTAGAGGCGCCTTGCAGTGCATACGAACTCATTGGTTCGACCTCACGTCTTGGTTAATAAATAGCCATTACCCCCTCCGGGAACAGTGAATCGACACGAAACCCTTATTTTTGAGGTCGAAAACACCACGTTGTACATATTGGCAGGCCACTACAAATCACTGAATAGACCAAGTGTGCATAAAACCACCTCCACAATGCTATGAATGGAGTTGAATGCATAGCACGTCTCTCAGAGAGTGATCAATTTGATCGCTATAACATTTATTCTTCATGTGTACACTATCACGCTGCCTTCTACTATTTCAATGCTGCTTAATGCTTATTAATCCTACTCTTGTATTGTAAATATTTGTTACAACGTTATTTGTTCTTAGTAGTACTTGTTCTTACTAGCACATACTTGATAGTTTTAAAGGGTACTTCACATTTGGAACTATAAAAAGCCTAGGTGATTGAAAGTTATTAAATACTAGTAGAAAAAATCAATGATAGTGCTCAGATACGAATAAAAAGGAATTAATTTAGGCGATCTTTATAACAAAAACACAATAACCAACACTATGGTCAAAATTCTATACGAGGAAGAGGTTTCTCTCTTTTTCTTTTAGGATTTGGGCTAAAAATCCATCTAAAATGGTGTTCGAAGGTCTTCTCAGTATTCGTTCTTCTCGTTTCATTAGAAAGTTTAGAATACTAGAATTGTGTCGTTTCCTATGTGGTGAGAGATATGGGAATTTTATTTAAAAAAACTTTCCTTAATTTTTTTTACTGAAGAAAAATTGAAGTTTAACGTGCTATCTGTTCTTTATTCGTGTATCCTGGTTCATCTGAATTTGTTGTATTCTTAGTGTCTATGTGATTTTCGAATAAGAAGATTTGGATCTTTCTTTGGCTCTATGTAATCTGAGTCTTTTACAATATTTTTACTTGGTTTCCAGTAGAATATAGTTCAGCTATCATTTCAGTATTGCTTTCAGTTGATATTAATGATATGATAGCTCCTGTCTGTATCAAATCAAAAAATGACCATTATCTCAACGCTGTTGAGGAATTATATTTAGAGTTCCCAGGATCGACTTTCTCGTAACCTCGGCATTGGAATATGAATGTCGTTTTCTTGTTCAGCAATCGCGAGGTTTTTAAACAGCATACATTTACTTCCATAGAAAAACACAATACAATACAACACTAGTTCATATGGTGCCATATGCGACTATAACCATCTGTTCTAAACTTCCTCATTGGAAATCACGAAAAAGCGGCTCTGAAGAAGGCGATACTGCCGAAACGCCAGCTAGCGTTGTATTGTATTGTGTTTCTCTATGGAAGTAAATGTATGCTGTTTAGAAACCTCGCGATTGCTGAACAAGAAAACAACACATTCATATATTTAGAGTGTTTTGGTTCACTTTTGACTTCCGAAGCCAGCTATATAGTCCGTATACGTGTTGATTGTATAACGCATAATCCTCAACTCACCACACAATCCAGATTTGAATTCGCTGGGTTATCGGCAAGAATACTTTCCGTAGTTTGAGCTTCATTGTGCTTTCGTTTATTGTCCTTTGTGGTAGTGACGTTTGATTCGCAGGTCTTAAAAAGCTTCTTTAAAAGCCATATACGTCAAACGAACTCTACAGTTGATATGAAAGACATTACTGGACTTTCTGATTTCATTAACAGAAACAAGGTCAACGTTCCATTGCAAATCTGTATTAAGTTCTCTACCTCGTTAAAATATTTGAAGAATTCTTCGACAAGTTAACGCTTTTTTAAAAGTCCTTTATTGACGCGAAGTTCTATTAATAAGCAATTTTTTTTTACAATAAAGTTTTCATATAGTATGTTACCTTTGCGTTGTTTACATTAATCGAAGGTATATTTTTGATGTTGCCACTGGATTCGTGTTTTAACATCATATCGTTAGCTTAAATATACTAAATCCTTAAACAGCATTTGGCGTTTTCCATTTTTTATTAGGGTATCATGAATGGAAAAAGAAATACCAAAAAGCTTTTGGTTACCAGGACGGGAAAGTTTTTTGTGTAAACTCTATCTGGATAATCACAATTTTAGCTTATTATTTACTTCCTGTTCTTTTTAATGGCAGGGTATATTGCGAAATATAACTTTAACGATGCTGAGATATTTGAAAACTCCGGACCGAAGGTGTCTGCGGTGGGGAACGAGCGCGCCATCGTCCTTTCCGGGGAGTAACGCGTTCACCACCACATCATGTGGGTCATTCGTTTCGCCTGTCTTTCAACTAATTCTATCGATCACTGCCATCAGCAATCACCCGTCATCGGAATTCGTTCCCACCGCAGACACCTGCGGTCCGGAGTTCTGTAAATATCTCAGCATCATTAGAGTTATATTTCGCAATATACCCTGCTATTAAAAAGAATAGAAAGTAAATAATAAGCTAAAATTGTGATTATAACTACAGCCTCCGTTTAACTGGGTTCGTTGCCGATGTGGGCTCCCTAGATCAATCCCGCCGACGGGTGATTGCTGTTGGCAGAGATAGATAAGATTTAGCTGATAGACAGGCGAAACGGAGGACCCGCATGGTGTGGTGGTGACCGCGTTACTACCCGGAAAGAACAATAGCGCGTTCGTTCTCCACCACAGACACCTTCGGTCCGGAGTTTTGCAAATACCTCAGCATCATTAGAATTCAATCTGGATACTTGATGCTAGAAAGGCATGTTTTCACAAATGATGTTGGGGGTAGGACACTCTTCGTTCGTTTTCCCTTTTAACAATATTCATCGATGGCCGTACATGGTGACTAATTGCTGCTATTCCGTAAAGTTTGGATTTTCAGCGGCTGGTAGAAGAGCGTTTTTTAGGATGACTGAATTCCCTGGTCGACGAATGTTGTCAGGATAGAATTTGCACTGACTCCGTCGGTTGTTTTTCAATAGTTTATAAACACTAGAACAACGAATAGTTCATATTTCCGACATACTTCTTTCAGCCCGATTTCGTCTATTCAACATGGCTTCAGTCGAAAACCTGTTTCCATTGTTTGATCTTATTACAGATGTCATGCTGCCAATTATCAAATAAACTTAATGACCAGACTGTAAAACACTTTTCAGTAAGCAAATAGGTTTGTAACTGCGAAGAGCTCTCCGTTACCTTTCTTGGGCACAGAACTGTATAAGATCATCTGCAAGTCGAGCCTATTTCCTTTTGGAGATTAGGTTTTGAGAAGTACGTGAAGCATTTGGGTTTTAGATAGAAGCAAGTAGGGTGCGGTTTCGCTCGGTTTTATTCTCCATCTCGTGCCTGTGGATGTAACTAGGGTGTTAGATAGAAGAATCCGTGAAGTTTCTTCAAAGGTGGATTTCATAGTGCCTACCAGTCCTTACAGTAGTAGAGATAGTAAAAAATAATAAAACTTTCGGTGTTGATCAATCCCTGAGGGATGCGCCATGCATTCGACTTCATTAAGCATCGTTGGAAGTGACTGAATGCATATAAGGCCTTTACAATGACTCGCGGTGGCCTGCCGATGTATCGAACCAGTGCAGCTATCCTCCCAGACAAGTCTGGTACCAATTTGCCCACCGCGGAGGGATGGAAGACTTGATGAATCATCGGCGCGGGGATCGATCCCGTATGTGGATCGCAGGGCGCTTTCGAGCACTGCGCCACCTGCGCCCCCAATGGTGATGATAGTCAAATTACTGGGTAGCCGCTCGGACTCTTCCGTTGTCGACATGGGGCCAACCTGTTCGAGACGATTTGGGACCATTTATCACATGTTACCCAATCGCTTGACTGTAGGTTTCCAGCCATATCGTCATTCATGATAAAATCTACGTCGTTGAAGCGAGCTCGCATTTGTGTGCATGAATATATATATACGTAAAGATGGAAGATATTAGCCAATTTAATGAAGCAAAGATAAGGAACAGATCTCATTCAGTTGTGTGCCTGGTCATTAATATGGTCAGCCTTTGACTCCCTATCTGCCACCTGATGACGCACCACCTGCTTTTTCTTTGGAACTAACAAGTCAAAAATCCCTCTCATCAGAAAGATTCACAGAGTTTTCGAAGTAAAAGTTTTTTAAATAAGAGTTTCTAACCAAAAAAGCTCTACTGCCTTCTGTTGCATTCATAACAACGTATTTCTGTATTCAACAAGACGGATGCTAGGTGCTTTCAAACTGGTCTAATACGGAATAGACCATTTCGATTTCTTTATTGAGAACGATAGATTTAGGTAATTACCACTAAAATTACTTGGTAACTTTAAATAACAGGGTGATTAAGTGGGTCTTGGTTCACCTAACCTCAAGATTGGTCTTCAAAGATGAAAACTCCGAATTCGATCTGTGGTGTTTGCGTTCTTCTTTATTCACATGTGAGTGTAACATCAACGTAACTCCTACCTGTAATTGAATTTTAGTAATACCAAATTTCGCTCGGACATAGACTATAACAGCTGTAGCCTTAATTCAATTTTCCTTTTTTGCTTTCTTTTTTCTCGAATATTCATTGAATGATGTCAGGAGATTTTAGAGTTAGATTTTACCGTTATTATATAAGGACCGATAACGCAGCGGTAATGACGCCCTTCATCACGCGCATGGTGCTAGTTCGATGCAGACTGGGCTCGCTAAGCCTTCGATCTCTTCGTGGTTGGGAAATTGGTACCAGACTTGTCCGGAATCAGCTCCCTCCCTTCAGTCTACGCGGGAACGCTCTAGTACTGCTACCCCAGGATTTCAGGGAGAGTCAGCTCGACCAGCACTCAGTGGCACTCATAACGAAGACGTAGACCGAAGAGCTTCGTATATGGTAATAGATGCAAGAAATCGAACCAATTGAAAGAAATGCTGGGATCGGCACAGTAGATGTTTAAAATGAGTCGTTTAAAAAACTAGTAAATGCCAAGAGCAATTTTCATAGCAATAATTCTTTTCCTGTTTTCAAACATACTGCTAACGGTACATCCTATCCTCTCGTTGATCTGGAGTACTGGAGTGGTCTGCACCAATAATTCTAGTCGTCCATGTCGCGTGCCCTAATTGTCCAGTAGATTTGCTGGCTCGAGATATATAAGTAGAATTATATTACCTTTCCTCTACGACGGTCGTGAGCATATTTGGTGGGCAACAATTAAACGAAGTTGCAGAGCTCTGAGATATTCGGTCCGGTGGGCGTGAATGAGGAACCATAAACAAATTCGTTTCTCATTAGCATCACTTTTTATGGTTGGTCGAAACACTTCTCAAAACCTGATGTCGAAATCGTCCAACGTTTTTTTTTAACAGGGTAGTGTTTATTGCTATAGGAACGGTGCCACTGGCTAATCGAAAGTGATCTAGCTCTCAACCATCGACTTTCACTCACGTGTTATCCTTTTGCACCTTTCTGATGATGTTCTCGAGACTGACGATAAGTAACTAATAGTATTCCAAGTGGCCATATTGTTTATGAACGAACTTTTTTATTGAGAAAGAATCTCCTGGTTTCTCAGATCTTGACTGGTTTTTTCTCATATGAGACAAAGACATTTTAAGTTGAACAATGTGCGATGAAACGGTCATGTGACACATAATGAGTTCTCTTGTATCTGGGATAGCACCGGTTATGCTGAATTAGTTTCTGAAACCCTTCTTGTTCACATTGCTGCACTTCGTTAGACTGTCAGTTCTGTTGTTGACGAATCGGATAAAGAGATTGGAAAATATGTTAGACTTTTGAACGAAGACAGCTGGCGACATATCCATGTTGTCTATAGAAATGTGGAGGTAGGCGGAAGTTATCGAATATTGGAAAGTAATCATGGAATATTTCCTCTGTTAGCTCAAGTTCAGAGATAAATAGGTGATTTCCTGAGTTCATGCGACTTCATATTAGCGTGTCAGACAATGCTTTTGAAGCAGATAACCTCTGAACTCTCGGCCTTTAAGAGGTACTGTGTGAAAGTTCGATGGATTATACGAATTCCTCATCAGCGTTGTCGATATCAGCATCTTCCCAAGAGCCGGCTAAGGAGAAGAAGAAAATCATAAATTCTGATGACTTTGGAACTTTATTCTTGGACGTCCTGGTTTCCTCTCTCTTCTGCGAAATGGTGAATATATACGGAAAAAGTAAATTTATGATGATTTTGGGAATTCCTTTCCTTCGACGTTACGACTTTTTTCCTTTTAGCTAAAATATGGAAATTGCTTGAAATAGTCAATGGTAAAATACAATAAATGACGGGTGGTGAAGCAGCATTGTTCCTCAACATTTTAACCACAAGTGTTCGTTTTTCACAGTTGTTCAAATGAATAAATATTTATAGATAAATTCGAGCTGACGACAGCACTAACGCTGCAATTCTGATCCTTCTTGTGCCGAGGTCCTATGTACAGATCCACATCATGGCTTTGCTATGTGCCAGCTAATCCGACTGTTGCGGGATAAATTGCCTTCATGAAGGCAATTTATCATGAAAGGGCGATCATTCAGGAACGGTCTTGTAATAGTGCACTGTGAAGGTTACTTCATTGGCGTGGTCTTTCACACCGCTCCATTTGACTCGATGTGATTACGAAAAGTCAAAACCTCAAGAAAATCATGTGTGGATACTTAACTCGAATCATTGCGGCTGTGAAGAAGACAAGGGCGTGACACCTTTAGCCACAATAAAATTTTGCAACAAACTTGTGTAAGTCCACCAATAAAACAAGATAATGATTATCCGTACAACAGGCCTTCAAGATTTAGATAGTCTAGGATGAAGTCGAAATTTTAGCAGGTTCTTCATACACATCCTTCGTAATGTTGCTTTGTTATAATCCGTAACAGCTTAAAGGGATGCTGCTTTACTGCTTTTGATAAAAAGTACTAGCAACTAGATTGCAACGCTCACACATGGGTGTTAGGGACATACAAATACAGAATTCTGCCTTTCTCAGAGTATATACAGAACCTGTTTATTAAACACAACTTTGGACCACTCTGTACACACTTTATAGTAACTAAATTGCAGGCCTTTGATTGAACAGATGTCGAATTTTAAAAAATAAGGATAAAGATCTTGGCGTTGAACAACTTCGATGACTTCATTAAGCCGTTTCGAGGTGGTTAAACGCATATCTTGGCCTTTACAATGACTGGCGGTGGCTTACCGATGCAGTGAACCAGTGGTGCTATCCTCCCAGACAAGTCTGGTAGCAATTCGCCGACCCCGGATGGATGGAAAGCTTGGTGGGTCACGGGCGTAAGGACCGATTCTACGTGTGTGTTGCAGGGCACCTCCGACCACTGCTCCACACGCTCCCATTGTTTATCTAGCAGATGAAAATCCCTTTTGAGAAAAAAGAACTCACCGAACTGTACTCGAAGTCAAAACATGGAGCAAATGGGTAATCTATTCATACATTTTAAACAAGTATGGATTTCAGAAAGACACAACAACGACTGTTAGTAAAAGCTAAAAGAAGCGGCGTTGATCAATCCCTGAGGAATGCGTCATGCATTCGACTTCATTTAGTATCGTTGGGGGTGATTGAATGCTTATCTGGCCTTTACAATGACTCTCGATCGCCTACCAATGTATCGAGCCAGTGCAGTTCTCCTCCCAGACAGGTCTGGTACCAATTTGCCGACCACGGAGGGATGGAAAGCTTGGTGGGCCATAGGCGGGTGATCGATTCCACTTGTGTGTTGCAGGGTGCCTCCGACCACTACGCCAAACGTTCCTTTTATATGCAAGATACAATTTAAAAAATGCGTAAACGAGCCCACACACGATTATATGAGGGTATGTATTTATATACAGAAGGTACCTGCCAACCCCACAAATTATAGAGTGTGATTCTATCTCGCGAATTCACCTGTGTCCAGCACACAAGATGCAAGTCGTTCTACGGTCCGTTTATAAACAGAAGGAAGGTATTGGACCCATCCCCTGCCTTTCTGCCATGCACTGTAATCCATCTAGTTTCAGGAAATTGGTGCCAGATTTGTTCGGGATCAACTCACTCACTACAGTCCACGTACGAGCGCCCCAGCACAGCTATCCCGAAATTCCATGACAGCTGAAGAGTACTCAACTATATTCACAAGGAAAAAAATCCTCAAGCAGCAGGCGACACCCAAAATGTTCGAAGACCTTTGTGGATAATCGATGTATGGAAATGAAAGGAATAGCAATCCTGGGATGAGCACTGTTTACTTCGGATCATTTCAGAAAGAGCTGGCTAATGGAGTCTTATCGCAGCATTACTTTTAGAAATTTCGAAATTTTAAGATAACGCCTGAAATATACCTGTGTTCCAAGTCTTTGGCTAAGAATAAGAGCCATGTGTCGTTGTTCTTTTGCTTCAGCCTTCTTTTCTAGCGATTTGGCGGCTTGGTGAATATCCTATAAAATGTTCTCGTCAGTTGTAGAAAAATATCGTTCACTTGAGAATCTCTTTAAAATTCTTATAATCACGAAGTCTTTTGAAATTTGAGCTTCCTGTTCTTCGTTCTGCATTTTTTGAGCGTTAAGCATGAAATTTGAAATCTTAGAAGATAACAAAACACGTTTTATGGAGTGAGATTTAGCTCTCTGATTATTTATCATGGATTATTGAGTAATATCACTAATCCGTGATTGTTGTTAATTTAAAAAAAAGAAGCAACACGCTCAGCTATAATTTAGGTTAAGCTTGCTATTGTGCTCTTCTTTGCAGTGAGATTACTCTTAAATCTTCTATTCCACGTAGTTTAGCCCCGAAGTGCGCAATTTCCTACTGATTGACTTGACTAGGTTGAAATATGTGTGTATGTGTTTGACGTTATCAACACTTCTTAGAGTTGTTGAAACGACATCACATTCAACGACATTCTATTAATAGAGCACTTCAACACGGCTTTCCTCTTATGCGTAATAGAATTTGAACACGAGCGATGAAGCTAAACCAATAATCAATAGCTATAAATTACACTAAAGTCATCTTCCAACGTTCAAATGTATATCTTCGATTCTACTACAGACAGTGGTCACTTAAAATGTTATCGTTTTTTCTTTCGACAGAAAATTGTCCTCTAAGAAGACAGTCGAAGTGTTTTTTCCGGAAATGTATATAGCATAGTATCATCTATCAAAATGGTTTTGTCCCGCTTTTAGTTTGTTGGCAATAGTAGAGAGGAATAAAAAAAAGACGAGAAAGATTTTTAGAAAGGGAATAAGAGAATGAGAGCAATAGATTGAAAATAGACGTTCTATATGCCTCTAATGGATTTAGGTGAACGTAAACCAGTATCTGAAAAGAGTGCTTTGGTCGGCATTCCCGATTCTTCTAAAAGTCATAAAGCTCAAACTATGAACAATGTGTCTGAGTCCGATAGTACTGAATAGAATTCCAAACCAACTCTGCATCACTTACTAATCGAAGAAAATCGAGTTTCAAGATTTTATTTAATATGAGAATAACAGAATTTTCAACTAAATATAAATAAAAAAGGATGAAGCTCTCGGCGTTAAACAATCCCTGATGGATGGGCCATGCACTCGGCTTCATTAAGCAACGTTTGGAGGTGATTGAATGGATATCTGCCCTTTACAATAACTCGCTGTGGTGTACCGATGTATCGGGCAGTGCTGCTATCCTTCCAGACAAGTCTGGCACCATTTTGCCGACTCCAGAGGGATGGAAGGCTTGGTGGGCCATGGGCGCGGGGATCGATTCCACCTGTGTTGCAGGGCGTGTCCGACTACTGAGCCACACGCACCCTCAACAAAATATAACGTTTGTAAACCAACCTTGTACAGTATCAACATTGCCACTAGTGTTGTCCAATAATAGACAACATACATTCCCATATTCACATATGGATTACTAAGAAAAGGTGCTGAGCATTCTGCAGTTGTCATACTGAAAACCAAAATCGTCATACTGATTGATTACTATATGAACAAATTGGAATTAATGCTCCAGTTTATTAGTGCTGGAAATATCTATGTGTTGAAATCGTACGCGTTCAGCATTATTGGTTGATAAGCATGGTCTGTTACGAAAAAGAAAAATCCCAGCAAATGTATAAGCTGTATAACAATTTTCAATAATACCCAATCAATAAGCAGCCATTGCTCGCCATCTCTTAGCGCTTCGATGCATTTAAGTATGACGACGGCGTTAGCATTCTATGAGTCAGTTCTTCATGGGTTTTTCTTTGTTAGTTCATCATTACCAACAATTTTATAACCTGTGGTACGTGATAAAATGTAGCTCTGACAATATCATACCTCTCCATTCCTGTAATTGTATCCCAACCATACATTATCACACCGAAGATCACTGCAGGTATAAACCACGATAGAATAATCAACATTTCTGCTTTAGTTGAGCTTTGCCACTTTAAATACATTACCATATGGCACACTAGAAAAAACAGTTTTTCTTATCATTACAGTACCTGAAATTATAACAGGTAAGAGGAAGTGGTTTTTAAATAATGGGAAATCTATGATACGGACAGACAGGAGACCTACGCTATTGAAAGAAATTTTGCTGCATTCAGTTTTGTATGTAAAAAACGACGAGCGAAATAAAACGACAAAAAAGCGGAAATAACTGTTCTTTAAGAATTCTACAAAGAGGAGTATAAAACATAGATCAACTTACCAGAGAGATATCGATCTGTTGTAATGAGTAAAACTGTTAGTATGGAGACAAGACAGAGTGTGTAGTCAAGAAACAGCCATGTCTTACATGCTAATTGTCCTAATGGCCAACGTTCACCTGAATACTCTTGCGAATATTACAAATAGTGGAATATAAATGAGACTCAGGTCATTTTTTAATTTAATAATTGCAAATAAATTCTCTATCTAACCGTTTAGCACATAAGTGGTGAACAACGGAAATCCTTCAATCCCGATAATTAAATCGGATATTGCAAGTGAAACGATGTAGCGATTGCTGACCTGTAAAAAGAGAATGGGCGTTATAAAAGCTATTATTCCAATTATTACTTATCGATTTTACGAAAAAGGACACGAATATCAGAGTGGATAGCGGTTGTCTGCAAAGCAAACGTATTGGTTCGATTCTGTGCCCAGGCCATCCAAGCTTCCCATCTGTCTGGAATCAACAAATTGGTACCAGATTCGTCTGGAAGCAGAACCGTACTGACTTCATATATCAATAGGTCTTCGGACGTCGTTATAACATAAGGAAAATATTCATCCCATGACTCTTGCAGTGCTACGAATGGAGTCAAATGCATGGCGCATTCGTTCGGCTTTGGTAATTTTGAAGCACTTTATCTATTATCATAAAAAAAGAACAAAACAAAATCATCATTTACTTTTTTTCCTATGTTTCGTTCGATATTGTAAGCTATCACTACCATTGCATTTCCGATAATCGTTTCGAAACTGATGACGACCACCATTAACCATACGATGATCTATATGAACGGTTTCATTTTTGTTATTATGGTATCCAGTTTTGCATGTCTCCTTGAAGAAAAATTAGAAAGTCACTTAAATAGAAGCGAATGAGTTTTTCACTTGTAACGAGAAAGAAAGTTACCTGAACTGCAATTCCGTATGGTGGATTCCAGCTACTATCAGTGCTGTATGTTCTGTTATCCATTTAGTAAAACAGGATCAGCTGTTCCTAAAACCTCCGTTTTATCCACTTCTTGTCTCCAGAAACGTTCAAAAGCCAATATGGTTCGAAATGTCCGAGTTACTAGATTTTAAATTTTATTATATCTAAATCAATGAATAGAAGTGACTTCATTATCCGTCTTTATTTACTGCCTATTCTTTTTCTCATGGCAGAGTATAATGTGAGATATAACCACAATGATACTGGGATATTTGCATAACTCCAGGCCGCACGTGTCAGCGGTGAGGAGCGAACGCGCTATTACCCTTTCCGGTGGCTAATGCGCTCACCACTACATCATGCGGGTGATTCTTCTCACCTTTCTCTCAGGCGTGTTTCCTGACTTTACTTGGACTACTTTACGTGAAGAATTTAATTTAAACAACGGCATCTAATAGCGATGCTTTTCTTCATATGAATGTGTCGTTTTCTTGTTCAGCAATCGCGAGGTTTTTAAACAGCATGCATTTACTTCCATAGAAAAACACAATACAATACAACACCAGCTGACGTTTCGGCAGTATCGCCTTCTTCAGAGTCTGGAAGGGTATACTGATATACAATCTACTAAGCCCAACGCAACAACAACACCTACAAAAAGACGAACAGCTCTATGGTAATTACATGATCAAGAGCTTCTCAAAAAACTCACCGCTTTTTCGTGAACGGATAGTCACTAACGGATAGTCTTACGGTTTTCAACCTTATCAGCTCTCGTACCTCTCCACGTTTTTGCACTGGAGTGAGGTTTGAGCTGTATCTTTTCGCACGATAGTGATTAAGGACTTTGTGAGCTTCATTCGCAAGCATCCGAAATTTAACATCAACTTCATTATTGGGCTCTTGTTGTCTAAAGAACGTCGGGGGAAATGGTGCTGTTGGTAGGGAAAAAATGGCTTCCATTTTTGAACGTACAAATTCACCTATCGGAAAATGGCTACATTACAAAGTGGTACCGAAAGCCAAGTAGTTAAAACATCTTGGTTCATTAACTCTCCTCTCACCCCTCTCACACGAAAAGAGCGCTTATAAGAGACATGTTTCGAACAGCAACTAACGTGTGCACGGGAAGAGAGCAGAGAGAGGAGTCCCGGAACTTGGCACGGCAAATAGCCGTTTCTAATGGCTACGAAACTGTAGCTCAGAATAGGTGTAGAGGAAATCGTAGGCCTCCAAATGACAACTCTAGCGATAGAAGGGTCCCGTTTATCCTACCCTTCATCTCAAATGATATAAGTACAGCTATAAAACGCTGCTTAAGAAGGGCGGGCTTAGAGAATTCGGTGAGCGTAGTTGAAATACCACCGAGTAATCTTAAGCGCCAGCTAGTTCGTAACCGCCTATATGACCGTCTATGTGCAACTCAAAATTGCATAATTTGCCCCAGCGGTAGAGACGGTGATTGCATGAGTTCGGGTATAGTTTATCTGAACTCCTGTAAGACGTGTGGTGACGAATACATTGGCGAAACGGGTCCCTCTGTGTCCGCATAAAAGAACACCTAGCCGGCAAACATAGACCAAATACTCCGCTAGGCACGCATAGGACCCAGAGGCATAACAGGGAGGACTTTGAAGTATGTGTCACGATCCTCGCACACTAATCAAGAACACAGGCGCGAAGAACTCTCGAGGCATTCTGGATTAATTCCAGAAATCCGAAAATGAACAGCAGGGAAGAATGTTTCATTATCACGCGTGATATAGGGCAGTATATAAGACTCCTATTCTGATGGGAGGAGCACATTATGCTTCCATGTGATTTCTGTGCGGTTGGTCTCTACGTGACATACTTAGTGGAAACCTCATAGAAAGCGGTGAGTGTGCAAAGCTGTGTTCGATGTGATTTAAATCTTGGTTTGGAGTTTCTTTGTTTGGTTATGGATGTGTCTGCCCGAGTGGATTGCTATCAACTTGACCTTTCCAGGCTCTGAGGAAGGCGAAATCCGCCGAAACGTCAGCTTAATCGTGAACAAAGGTTGCTATCAACTTGACCTTTCCAGGCTCTGAAGAAGGCGAAATCCGCCGAAACGTCAGCTTAATCGTGAACAAAGAATAAACAGCTCGCGTTTGCTCAACAAAAATACGAAGAATTACTTGATCAATGCCGAGGTTAATAGAAAGTCGGTCGTGGGTGTTATTGAAGCGTTTGGCCTAGTAGATTGTATATCAGTATACCCATCCAGGCTCTGAAGAAGGCGATACTGCCGAAACGTCAGCTAGCGTTGTATTGTATTGTGTTTTTATGGAAGTAAATGTATGCTGTTTAAATACCTCGCGATTGCTGAACAAGAAAACGACACATTCATACTCCAATGCCGAGGTTAATAGAAAGTCGATACTGGAAACTATTTCTTCATATTATTTTTAGAATTATGCAATAAAGTGAATATTATGTCTTTGCTTGTTTTCTTTTCTATTATTTCAATAAAGACGTTTCCATTTTTTCTAAAGACACGTTGTCTTTTTAGGCTTGTTCTACAATAACAATGATTACGATATCTCCTCATGAATACGTAGAAAGTTTAGAAGGAATCGCATAATTCCTAGGTAGGAAGTTTAAAAACTTCCACTACTATGAAGTAATTGAGGTAGCAAAATCAATGAGTGGATTCAGAAAACTACACAGTGACTGATTATTCGCAAAAAATAGCATGATTTGAGAAATCAAGAAAGAAAATTACCGATAACGAAGAATAGGAGTCGTCATCGTAATAAGTTGTTTTTCGGAATACTTAGGGCTATTGAGACGAGTTTTCGTTGCTGGCCAGAAAGTTTCGATTGTTTTTTCTGGGTCAAATAAATTGGTTGTTCATGCGTAAGTCGTTTAAAGTTTCACTTATATTTAAACATCTGCTGACGTTAAATTGATTTTGGCCATTTTTTTTAGCAAAGTGGCATTGCTTTCTTTATCCTAGCAATATGATAGTACAGGACATTTACGCTAACGTCGCATCCACGAAGATTTTTCTTTTTGGTTCTTGGTTGAGTTGTAAGGGTTATTATATGCAATGATGCAGATTAGATTATTGAAAAATTTAGCTTATTGATCTTCAAATCGCATATATTATCTATAAAATAAAAACACAACGAAACAATAATGACCCATGACCTATGACCCACAGATGGCTCGTATTGTTAGGTAGTTTCACGAATTGCACGAATAACAACATAAATCACAGAATGAGGATCATTTTCAGGAGACCATTTTTTTCGGGTGGATATTATTTTAACATTTATTTTTGGTAAGATATATCAGAGTTCTTGTTACCATGGAAAAACATCCTAATGATGAAAAGCAGGGGGCGCATAGCACAATGGTAGTGATGTCTGTAATCACGAGTGTGGTGCTAGTTTGATTCCGCTCTCGGCTAACCAAGTCTCTCATTCCTTCGGAGTCAGGAAATTGGCACCGCAGTTCTCTGGGAAGAAATCACTCTCAGCAGGCCAATTGGTAATGCTCCAGCCCGGTTATCTCAGCAGTGTAGGGAGAATTGCTCTACTCTACGGCATTCAAAATGAAACGAAAATCCTCAAGCAGCAACCGAAGCCGCACATAAAAGTCGGAAGATCTTTGTGGATAATGGATGCGATGAAACAGATCGAATGCGAGAAGTGCTGGGGTCCGCATAGTAGACGTGAAGACGGGTCATATACAATAAAAAATAATGAAAAATACGTGTTATGAAGAGTCTGCAAGCGTTTTTATATCATTCTAAATGGATAGCTCAAGGAAATTGGTGCTTGATTGGAAGAAAAGAGATCAGTGAAGAAAAAAGTTGAGTGAGGAGTGGGTCACCGAAAGAACGACAACTGTGTTCACTAATCACATCGCGGAAAAATGATGATATTAATAATGTTGTGGAAAATAGTGAAGGAACTGTGGGCCTGTGATGAAATCGGGATCAATTTTGATTACTTAAATTGATGAGCATCTGATAGTTGAATAACTTCTAGATAGGAAGTTCTCTTCTTCGCTTCTTAGCTTTGTAGCTTTAGTAAAACACCATGCGGCGAAAAGTACGGGATCATTAAAAGAAAATTATTTAGCTCTGGATGTCCGACATTCTTCTATTTACGACCATTTTGAGAAATTCACTCGATGACACATTTGAAATCGTCATACAGGAGACACTGAACAACTATTTTGTAATACAACCATAGGAATGCTGATATATAAGAAAAACTCGGACCCTTAGTTGGGCTTCGAACCCGCGATTACCCACCATAGATGCTCACGTGCTATCCAAAACACTAACCGAGGCCATTACGTCAGCTTTCACTCAGCCAGATTTTTACAGCAGTGGTACTGTCAGCAATACCTTCAAGTGAAATGGTCTGGAGAGAACAAATCGGCATCAAACCCAGTTAAACTGATGACAGAGTTGAAATCACAATTTTGTATATTGAGAATTATTTCGAAAAACCATCTAGGTAAGAAGAAAAGACGACAAAAACAGGCGAAAAACCTCACTGTACAAAAAATCTCCAGGTCGTTGAAGATTAGCAGAAAACTATGAACTTAATTCGATGAGAACCGGTTCTGGTTCTTATGAAGTTGCGGAGTGTTTATCTGGTAGTGATCATGGGGGAAAGCGAAGTAAAAGGTGTTCTATACCTAAAACACCAATCTTATTTGATGAAGTGGTAACTTCGCCGTTTACAATGCTTTTCGTGTAAAATTTTCCAGAATACGTATGCAGGAAGTGGAGATACACAGATCCATGCACAAGAAAAATGGATAGTGTGCCTTCAAATAGCCTGAAAGTTGAAGGAAAATGATCTATTACTGCTATTTATAACAGCAAACGCAGCTTTAGTATCTAAGACCTATAAGTGGATCGGAAGCGAGCAGCGTCTCAGTCTGAATGTCCTACGTCAAGCCAGAAGGATAACCGAGCCCGAAAACCTCTCGCTCTTCCCACCCCCTCTCTCCACTTCATCAGTTCCTATTCCGGACATGTTTACGAAATGATTGAAGAC